CTGTATACTAGCTTTTGCCCGCGACTCCGTTAGCGTGGAATAGTGATTTTCTGCAGATGTTTGGTCCTATGTCCTTTCTCGAGTTCCAAACTATGTCTGCACCAAATTTCACAGAAAGCGGTTCAGTAGTTTAGGAGTGAAGAAAAGACAGACAGACAGACAGAGTTACTTTAGCATTTATAATATTAGTTTGGTTTTTCTATTACTATTAATGTATCATGGAAAGAAATAGAGGGCGACTTTGTAAATTTAGAGGAAGTTTGAAATATTTCTTAGTACAAAAATATACAATTGAAGTTGTTGAAGTAGACACGTCGTGGTGGCTCGGAGGTTTTCACGCATGAGGGTGCGGGCTCGAACCCTGGCAAGTACCACTGTGACTTTTCATTTTTGTGAGTCATATGAGCACTTTCTAAGACTATTTAAACACCACTGAAAAATGGTGAAGGAAAACATCGTGAGGAAATCTGGACTTAAAATTTCTAATTATAAGTTTGAAATTGCCAATCCACCTTGCGTTTTGATTAATGCTCAAACCTTCTCCGTATGAGAAGATGCCTTTGCTCAGCAGTGGGCACTTATAGGCTAACGATGCTGATGATGTTGTTGAAGTAATAATGTTTACAGTTTTATGTGCGTTTTGTTCTTGTAAATCAAATGTATGGAAATGTTGTTTTAATGTGATAGATTCGGCCAACGAGCATACGTATTACCTGATGGTAAGCAATCAGCCCCGCTCATGGACAACTGCAACGGCAGAGAAGTTACCAGGGTGGGGCGAGATGAGGAGAGGGAAAAGATTGTGCCTCCAGTAACCTCACCTATACGGCAAAATACAACGCTGTGGTTGTTTCACGCCTGTTCTCTGTGAGATTGTGGTATCACTCCGATCGAGGATTTTTGTTGAAGTTTGGTTCCCCCACACTAACATGTTAAATGTTAGTTGAATATTTGCGATGAGATAATACATTGACATACTATATACTAACATGTTGTCGCTATACATTTGTTGATAACACACGGCAACACGTTTTACACACACGGCTTACAACACGACGACGTGGGCAATTTTCTAGGGCACTCCTCGTCTTATAGGTTAGGTGTTAATTTCATACTATACATATTATACAAAGGCGTAAATTATATTATTTAATTTTACTAATAGTACCTACTAGATAAAAAATAGGTGTTCCCCATACCCAACCCCATAAAAACAAAGATTTTTTTTTCAGCAACCCATGTTTGGTAAGTTTCTAATATATTTATTTTTAAAAACCAAGTAGCTCACGTGAGGCTCTTCCAAAGTGGTTAAAATCTAACTCCAAAGTAGTTAGAAGCTTTTTTGAATACGTCATATCACCGATACTTGCTGCTACAAATACGTATAATACGATACTGCTACGAAAAACAAAGATCACACTTTATACAGCTAGTTTAATCATTTTATTTAATAATAAGTTTTAACCTAATTAGATTGATAAGAAGGAGTTAACTTAATCTAGATTATTATAATTATGATGATGTATAAAGAGATAAACTTTGAAAAGTGCCTCGTTAACGCCTAAACTAGATTTATTTAAACCTGTGTTTCGGGGTATCTTATTACATAATTGTTGTTCGATGGACGACATTATGCTAATCATATGATATAAATATTATTGACTGAGTAAGGACAAGTATTCTTACGTCTAAAATTACTCTAATAGTACGTTACTTACTAGGCTATTAAAAGGTTTATTTTAACACTTCTAGTATTTCTTCAGTGTCTGTGTAGTTGAGGCTCTGAAGATGTTTGCATCATAACACTACACTTCTTAAAACTTACACTTACACCTCAACAAGTTTTTCAAATTTATTGTATAAATAAGGTCCTAAAAATCTTTTTCATCTGAGGGTTAGTGCAAACTAGATCCTTTCTTCTCCTGTCTGAAGGACTAAACGCAATCTCAGTATGCTTTTTTTTTGTGAGGGGAAAATCATCAAATGGTTTCTCCCGCCCAGGGCCGCACGGGCGGGAGGGAGTATCAGACTCTTACTGACTAAGAACCCCCCTGTTCCTTCTCCTGCTCTGTGCCGAGGTCGCGGTGCCTCGTTGCGCTTGACCCGCAACCCCGGCTGAAATCTCAGTATGCAGGACAACAGAGTTTGCACGTGTGTCGTGGTTATGTTCACAACCATACAATTCACTTATCGCCAGACCCAGAACCGATCAACAATTTGTACATCACATAAAGAATGTTTCTTTGCGCTAATTGGACACTTGACACATTGTCCAGCATCCGCCTATCCAACCACCACGCCAGCCGTGCAGTCAATCAATGCCATCTAATAGCTTGTTATACATGGATACCAGAACTGGGACTCCTTGCTTTGAATTTCATTACGTACAAATATAGATACAACCATGTAAATCATATCCATATTACAAACAGAGGACTACTAGGAGAGTGACATTGAAGTGTCCCACAACTCTTACGATCGAGTCACTCCTCCACGGTCTTTTACGGAGGCCGTTTATTTCTTTATAACTTGCAATTGTTAATAACTATGACACTTGAACTTTATCGAATACTGCACTTCACGTACACTGAAACACCGGCTTTTAAGTGTTTAGTATATATTGCATGTATATGAAGAAAGCTACTTACCACGTTTGTTTAGGACAGTTTGCAAAACACCGTGAGAAAAATAGAGGTTGTCTCACTTTGTTTTCATTAATTATGTCTGGTCAATATGTAATCTTGGAATGTACCAGTAAAAAGTCACATTAGTTCTTACTAGGTTTTGAATCCCTACCGTCATGCTTGAGAAGCTTGCGAACCGAAGGCGCAAGCTTGCGAAGGCCTTCGATCGGGTTTGGCATAAAGGGCTTCTTACGAAACTACCTTCCCATAGGCTTCCCGAGAAACAGTGTAAATGGGTATCCAGCTTCCTTGCAGACAGAAGCATAAAGGTCGCGGTCGACGGTGAATGTTTTGATTGCTTGCCTGTAGACGCTGGTGTCCCTCAAGGCTGCGTACTATCGCCCGCTCTGTTCCTCCTCCATATCAATGATATGTTGCAAATTAGTAGCCTTCATTGTTATGCGGATGACAGCACGGGCGATGCCTTTTACGCCGGCCGTGCTAACATTTCTCGGGAAAACGTCATAGAGAGTCGAAACGGGCTTGTGTCTGAAATCGAGACTTCTTAAGAGAGAATCTCAGTTTGGGGTAGATTGTTGTTGGATTGGGGTATTAGTCCAATTTAACTCCACAAAGACATAGGTCTGCGTGTTCACAGCTAAAAAACTGCCGTTGGTCGTATCTCCTCAATTTCAGAGCACCTCCCTCACAGCCTCGGCCGGTATAGGGATACTTTGCGTCGACATATCGAGCGAAGTCCAGTTTCGCGGTCAACTAGCGGGTAAGGCCAAGCTAGTCTCGAAGAAGCTTGGTGTGCTCAATAGACCGAGGCAGTATTTCACCCCGGGGCATCGCCTGCTACTTTACAAGGCGCAAGTTCGGTCCCATATAGAATACTGTTCTCATCTTTGGGCGGGGGCACCCCAGTACTAGCTTCTCCCTCTGAACTGCATTCAACGACGAGCTGTCCGAATTGTTGATTGCCCTGTTGTCTCGTACCGGCTGGACTCTTTGGCATTGCGTAGGGATCTAGCCTCGCTATGTATTCTCTATCGCATTTATCACGGGGAGTGTTCTGAGGCATTGTTTGGTTTGATCCCCGCCGCATCTTTTCGCCATCGTTCCACGCGAAAACTTTTGCATCCCCATCACATAGAGGGTTGGCAGTCAACAACTGTGCGATTCACCCGTAATTTTCTGCCCCTCACAGCAAAACTTTGGAATTATCTTCCGGCGGCGGTATTCCCGAACCGATACGACCTTCAAACCTTCAAGAAACGAGCGTACTTCTTCTTAAAAGGCCGGCAACGCACCTGTGACTCCTCTGGTGTGGCGGGTGTCCATGGGCGGCGCCGATCGCTTACCATCAGGTGATCCATCGGCTCGTTTGCCTCCTATCCCATAAAAAAAAACCCTAGCGCCACCATGACATGTAATCAAATACTTATATTTATACGCGAGAAAGAAAGCAAAATAATTTTACGATTCATGATTAATTAAAAAAGGTACGATCTATCTTGTTCAGGGCAATTTATGAAGTTCGCTAATTATATGTTTAAAGACTTATGTTGGACGAACTATCTATAAATCCATAGCTGATACGGGTAGGATGAAAATATTTTTTTTTGAGCGTCAGTCTCAATCAGATAAGTCTGGTGAACATCAAAAACAGTTTTTACATTTTTGTTTCAAAATCTTAAAGAGTTCACACAAACCATCCTACAAAACTGTATAATTCATATAGTTTCGGAAGAAGACACGTTCAGATAAACAAACGAGGCGGATCTGTGGATCTTTTTTGTCATTACGCGTGTGTCATAATGTCTAACCTAACCTATGTGAGTCTATTTAAAATAGTACAGTGCTAACTGTTAGCCGACTCTCAATATGTGGGTGACCAACAGAGTTCAAAACTAATTACTCATATTTAAAGTCAAAATCATTTATTCCAACTAAACCATAAATTGGTACTTTTGAAACGTCAAAATAGAAAAGTAGTCTGTCAGTCTGTTCCTCAGTGAAGCTAGGTGCTCATTCCAAATTGTAGATTCGAATGGCGAAGAACGAGAAAGAAATTCCATCGTTACTCTTTGAAAAAAATATTTGTTTTACAATTTCACTTATATAACATTTAGTATACATTATTGTACCCTTACGTGAGAACAATGCAGAGACAAGTTGTAAAAATAAAAGAACAAATGATGGGATTTGTCGTTTCGAAGATGGCGCTCACGTGGTGGTAGGTAACATTATCTAACGAGGTAGGGCTCAGTTCGCAGCTCAAATTGGTTACACGTGATGACGTTTGCACGATAGCTCATAAGGTGTAAAATGTGAGCTGGATGAACACAATTAATTGAGTAGCAGTGGTTGCAGTGGGCGGCGGTGATGTGAGCGGAGCGAGCGCCGCGCGACATGGCGGACGACAGCACTATCATCGAGGGGACTGTCAAGTTCCGGGACGGGAAGAAGGTAAGCACAGCGACACTTATTTACGGGAACCCTCCTTCTCGAGCGTCGTAATCCCGGCCTCCAGCTTCCACAAGTATCCCTCGCTGAGCTGTGGCTGACAAAGGTCATAAAACGTGACTTAATTACATAATATATAGATGGTCTCTGGTGGATTGGGACTCAATTTACAAACACGCCATTATGAGCCATTTTGGAAGCTATTAAAAAGTCAGGGATTTGTTTCAGTAAAATGGAAATGTTTGTTTGTTTGTGAATGTAAAGTATTTATTAAGCTGTTGAGTCAATAACGATAATAATATAGTGGTTATATCCTGTATGCGTTGAGTAGAGAGTGAAGTGTGCGTGTTGTCCGCAGTGGAAGTCCCGGTGGTGCGTGATGCGCAAGCTGTCACCGGTCGCAGGTGAGTCGCCGCCTGGTGCAGCATACACGCAGGCGAAAATATGCGCGTAATTTATTTTGTTGTGGCGACTAACACTTAAACTAATTGAATTTTTTCCTCAGACAAAAACAAATCATTAACTATTGCTTTGTAATACAGTAATATATACATTAAAATACTTCGAATTGATTTGACGATACCTACCTACCTATATTTTGCTATAAGTTTTGAAGTAATCAACATGCTATCTAACATTATACAATACATATTGTATTCTGACGTTACAACAATGGTCACTTTTAATTTTTCAAAGAAATATTTAAAAATATTGACATAAGTAAATGCGTACTACGAAGGTACGTAGTTTTCATGTTAAATTATTGCGATGAATAAGTAACATCCACCAATGAATTAAGTAGGGACCCAGTAAAAGTTTATAGTTTGTTTATAATTAGCTACATCTTAACAATTGCAAAAGCGCCCACTAGTTGGTGAAGCACAGTGCGTGCCGCGCCGTGGGTGGCGGCGCCGCGGCTCACTGCGGCCTCTGTTCTCGTGACGCGACTAATGTCTACTTCCGACATCTTACTGCCCATAAATTTGTATGCGAGTAGTACTACACCAAGGATGCGGCGCGTGACATCAGCTCTCACACGTCGTCCTTATCCGACTACTCTATAATAACAAGTAAAGCTGTAGCAGCTATATACAATAGTTACTTATATTTTACCGACATTTTGAATAAAGCCCACAACTGAATTATTCCTCTAGCCCTGAATATTTGTGCTAAACACAGTTTTACCGGACTGAACGTCTCTTGCACATATTTCTCTTAACAAGAATTGTAAGTGGGGCAGTGAATGTTTGAGTGATATGCGTGTGTGTGTGCAGATTGCGTACACCTGCAGCTGTACCGCGACTCGAAGGCTCGCTGCGCAGGCGCGGCCAGCAAGGCGTCGCTCTCGCTGCAACACTACCTTGGCAGTGAGGCCGGGTTCACGCTGGACAAACACTCCAACACGCTGGCGCTCGTCTGCCGGGACCTGGTCGCCATCCTCGCCTTCGAAACGCGAGAGCGCCTCATCCAGTGGCAGGTGAAAGTTAGCGCACACCTGGGCGAGCCGCGCCACTACCTCGTGCTGGTGGGAGGCGCGGGGGGAGCGGGGGGCGCGGGCAACAAGCGCCTGCCGGCCGGCCCGGCGCGCCTGCACCTGCACGAGCGCCGCTTCGCCCTCACTGCCGGTGTACCGCCTCGACTGCTCGGCATATGGGAGCTGCCGCACCTCAGGTGAACATAGTTCTTGTTTTGTTGTTGATCTGTAATTTCCCAGTGCCTATGTATATATAGGTAAATAAAATATATATTTATCTTTCGAAATAATAGAAACACAAAAAAGAGAGAATGAGTAAAGTTGTACAATACATTGGTGTTCGCATGTAGACGCTACGGTGTAGTCGAGGGCAGATTCTGCTTCGAAGGCGGCTCGCACTGTGGCAAGGGCGAAGGACTTCATGTGCTAATTACTGACCAGGCCAAGGAACTGGCGCGTGACTTTGATTTGGCCTCGCAGGGTCGCCTTTCACCAAGGAGAAGGCCGAATAATTTTAAAAATAGCGAAGGTTAGTAAATATTTGTCAGAATCTATTATTAACATTGTCCTTTTTATATAATTGTGGATTCAATTTTAAATTGTAGGTGCAGAAAGTCCAAAATCCCATAAAGCATACCGGCCAGATACCAGGCTCTCTGAGCTAAACACAATAGACCACTCACTGCCGCCCTTAGACCTCCACAATTACGAAGAGGGCTGTGAAGAGTCAGGAGGCATCTCTCCGTATTGGCCCTCTGCAGAAAGGACGAACTTTCAAGACATGGGTCATGGTGACACCGCGTCAGTGAACGAGACGGTGGAGGAGGCGGCCTCGTGGACCGGAGTAAGCAACGTGACGCTAGAGAGATGCATGAGCTGCATCTCGAAGCTAGGGGCACTGTCACGGTCTTCTACGGCGGCGCTAACGCCTGGCGCTAAGCACTTTAACCCAGCGTGGACTATGGAACCTGTTCACGAAACCCTTCCTACAGAACCCGCAGAGCTCACTCAACATTGTGATATTCTTCTTAGTGCAACCGATAAGACTGACGACGCTTGCCATTGCCCGACATGGCCTGAGCGGCCACCGGAGAGACCCCCCAAGCCCACCCGACTAGAGCTTAACCTCAATAGGAAACCGGTGCCTCTCTGCCGCTGTTCTCATAGCGTGCCAGATGACAAACCCTGCAGAGTTGGACCCTACGAAAACTATGATGTACCCAAAGTTCCGCACCAAGATGGTGAGTATTACGATACACCGAAACGACTCAAAGAGTGTTTAACTAGCGAATTATTTAAAGTTACTAAAAGTTCAACGTCGAATGCAGTCATTTTAAAAAAACCCTGCGGCTGTTTACTCAAGTTTGGCAAAAGAAGAAGAGAACCAACGATAGTAGATTCTGAAGAAAACTTTCAGCCAGCTAACTGTCCCTGTCAGCGGGTAACTGACTGGGCAAACAATTGGATCAAGTTACCATACTGCAGAAAGAACACAGTCTCCAGTGACAATCTGGTGCCTAACAAAGAAAATGTAACGCCTAACAGTAGTGATAGATCCGCACTTTATGCTACAATAGACTTGTCAAGGAAGACTCGAAGAAAACAGAGGCCTTGTGACCGGCATCTTGATGCACCCGAGAGTGAGTCACTTCGAGGCTTAACTAGTTCTGCAGAAATTGATGACGGCCCATTGGCCAACTATGAGAATCTTAGTTTTGCCTTATCGTTGGAGCACTACGAAAATGCCAAAGATTTGTTAAGAAAGGTTGGGGTCACGCAATCAGAGCTGGATGCAATTAGTGCTAATTTAAATCCTAACTCATTTGTTTCAACAGATGCCAGTCTTTGTACAAAATGTGGGCACGCACAACAACAACGTTTTAACAAAACCATAGCTCGAGACGATGTAGCTGTTGGTGCGAATGATGATTATTTGTTGATGGCACCCGATGCCAGTAACAAATTGGAGCAAAGTAAACCATTGCCAGCAGGTTATACTCCGATGTCTCCGATTGGAGGTTTTGCGTTTAATACTCTAAAACATCCTGCCAGGAGTCCTATCAGTAGGCTACTCGAAGAAAAATCAGCGAGTAACCCCACATTGTGTGAAGAAAGCAGGCGGTCGGGTGCAACCGACGCTGATGCGGCGTGCGCTGTCAGCACCGTCACTGAGCGACCTGACCGAATTGAGTATAGAAAACGTTCGAGCTCTGCAGACTCGTCACGATTCCTTGAAGACGTGAAAGAATTTGACGGAAGCATCGGCAGTCAGGGTTCCACATCCTCTATTGAAACACTGCGTAATATCGCAGTCGATGGGCGGCCTTCAACACCGTGTAACTGCACAGTGGATAACAAGCATTCAGATGCAGACAGCTCAGAAGCATCTAAAGGAGCACGTAGTAGGCTACCACCAGCTAGGCGCTCGTCTTCCGTTCCTGGCAAGGCGGGAGGGAACAGAGACTCGTCGAGTTCTAATGACTCGGGCGTGTCAAGCTGCTCATTGCGCCGAGGCGAGCTGTTTGAGTTGCCGCTTACGACGGCCGCAGCGCGGCGCCACTACCGCAGCGCGCGACGCGCGGCCGCGGGCGCCGGCACCTCGCTGCCGCGCCGCAGCCGCTCCACCGACCCGCTGGGAGACGTCGCCACTGCGCAGAGGGAGCGTGTACCCGCCAAGTCTTCCTCTGCTGAAGCTGAGGTGCCCGTCCTCACTGCTAAGCCGCTTCGAGGTAAAGTTCTAATAATAAATCATTTTCAATAACATCCAGCCCCAGAAACACAAGTCGAACTTTTAGATGCAATCTTTATTTTTTTTTGGTAAACGATTTCTAATTTGTTTTATACAATTAATTGTGGAAATTATAATCTTATCCGTTTTGAATATTGAATTTTTCTGTATATTTGTAATGGTTTTTACAGGGGTGATGGACACCCACAGTACGTCCAGCGGTACCTCAGACATGTCGGACTACATCGAGACTCTGTCTATATGCTCTTCCCATTCGTCTACTGATACTCCTATCACCATGAGGTAAGTATTCAGGGACAAAGCAATCTTAAAGCAAGTGAATAAAGAACAGATTAGAATGCAAGGTGTTGGCGTGTTGCAGGGTGATGCGCCAAACGACGAGCACGCTGCGGCCGCGCTCGGGCAAGGAGTACGGCAGCCTGGACCCGCGCCTCGCGTCCGCCTACCGCCACCCGCACCACTACACCAACCTGCCCTAGACAACGTCGCCTTCTCCTCTGAAGCACGGCGCAATATTGGAACTGCCTCCATTCGCGTTACATGTTGCCGTTCTGGTGCGGTGGACATGGTCTCGTATTGCGTGGCCGGGCGTTGCTTGTGTGGTTACTCGAGGAGTCGAGTTTGTCTGTGTTGTGTTGCCAGTCGCGGCCGCGAGCGGCGCTGCCGAGCTTACTCCTCGACTGTTGTGATCCGTCCATGGGCTGCGCTCGCTGCGGCGGATGTACCGGCTGGCGCGTGCCGCGGCCACTGACACAGCGTTGTATAAATGTAGTTACCTTCACATGGAAACTGAACGAATTACAAGACAGGTGAAATAATGACCTAAGTATGTTAATAAAGTTCGCTCGCTACCAGGCAGCAGTGGGCGAGGCGCTGTGGCCGGCTGGCTGGGCCGCTCTGTACATACTCTACACATTCGTAGTTTGCTATGGTTCGACTAGGACGAAGTAAATGTATATTAAATATTATTACTAAAGTAATTGATATACTTATAAATTTAATCTCTACAACGACTCTCTTGTCTCTACTTTGTTACGACGATGTAATATTTTGATATTCGGAGTTTAACTGGGTGTCTCTCAGTAAGCAATAAGCAATAAGGAGCTGCGCACACAGCGCGGGGCATTGTCTGCGAGGCGACGCGCGCGCTCCGCCTCGCTCCCGCTCCCTCGCTCCCGGAGCGGAGCGGGTTGGGGCGGGGCGGAGCGAGCGTGCGGGCGAAGACTGGAATTGTAAGCAGGTTGTTTAGGTATTACGCTAGCAATGAATTTATATAATAAAAATAATGTTAATATACTTGGAATTTCCGAATAAAACGAAGAATAACTAATTGTTTGTTTATTTGGTTGTCCTTTTGCTACCATTATCCCATAATATGTAAACGACTCGGTGTGACCGTTGAGCTCAGGCTGGCATCGAGTAAGAAGCGCCGCACAGCGAGCTCTGAGCACGCGTGCGGCTCATGGGAGACTCGTGCTCACTGTGGCTGGTCGAGCACGGCACGCGAGGAGGCACGGCCCAGTCGCGATGGCCGTGTGAATAGAGCGTTATCGTGCAATAAATGCGTAATAAACAAGTAATTGAACGGTATGTGTGTGATATTTGTTAATCCTATTAACTGATAAAGATTAATGAATCGGTCGTCGGGCGCGAGCACCTGTTCCCCGGCTCGACAGCGCACTAGCCGCGGCCGGCGCTAGCCAACGACCCTTGCAAAATGACTGAGGTTTACTCAATATCGACTGCTGTCACTCAGTTAAGATAATAGGACACATAGTTCCTACTAAAAATAAATTATTTACAACTGCGACTTAATTAAGTAAAACATGTATGATTTCATAAATCTTTAATTCGAAGTCGTGCTCAGATTCTAAGCTACAACTTACGTCACACTGCCTGGCCAGATGAAGTACCTACTAAAGGCTATCAGTGCCAAACATATTACACGCAGCGTGTAGTGTGTGTGTTGCTGTCACGTAGTCACCGCGTATCTGTGAGCCATCGCTCAGGGTTGCCACATTACCTGCTCATTATACTACAAATGAATTATTCAATAACTCGTTAGGTGACGTGCAAGCATTATATTACAATGAAGTCATTTACAGTTGTTGTGCCTATTTAATTGGTTATAATTCAAACCTTGAAGCCCAGAAAATGGACAGATAAACAGTAAAGTTTGTGCAACCCTATTTTTGTTTTATCTATGGATCGCTCGATGTTGCATGATAGCGTCGTGATGGCGAATACACACCCGCTACTGAACATTGGTGTGTCACAGATAAGCTGTGAGTCTCAAACAAAAAACAAAAGTACTGTAGGAAACATTTATCGGAGACTATCTTAATTGCCGTCCTTAATATTAATCGGCTCAACACATCGTATCAAGTGTGACGTCAATGTGGTTCATTGCTTGCGAGCGTGTGGGAGAGCACAGTGCACGCGCACGCACTCCGTCCCTGGCTGACCAGACTCCGTCCTGGAGCCTGGCTTGCACGGGAGCTATCTAAGAAATAATTGATTGATGAGTCATTATATCAATTGTAACATCTAGAACAAATGCAAAGTTCAGAGCTCGATGACATGAATACTGCACCTACACCAGTAATATTGTCATTGTATATCAAATTAAATTGTCGCCGAAGATAACAACTATAAACCTCTTCTCCGTACACAGTGAGTTACGCGACGGCAGTAGTATACATAAAGTGATACTTTTTTTTCTTCAGGGCGAGGCAATGGTATTTGCAATAATTGCTTTCTTCGACTAGGTCTACAGACTGTGGTCACTGTGATTGTTACTAAATTTCCTTTCAATCGTGGTATTTAGACACACAATAAAAGAAGAATAGGAACACCAACGCCGGCGTTCGCTTGGTTTTGATGAATCAACCAACTTGGTTATAATGTGAGTGTTGTTCAGCTTACTTGTGTATTGACAGAAAGATACGCTCACACTCACAATAATTAAGCATCGCGTTTATCCGTTAAGTTAATAATAGCCACAAAATTACTGAAGAATAGTTTCCGTAAACTGAAAAGTTAACTTCATACGAAATAATTATGTTATAGTTAAACAGAAGTTTAGCAAGCTGGGGAGAGAGGGGAATCTGTGCAATTTACGGGAAACCTTCTGCCCCCGCACTGGATATATTGGAATGATCTTTCGGCGGCGGTATTCTCGAACCGATACGACCTTCAAACCTTAAAGAAACGAGCGCACTCCTTTAAAGGCCGACAACGCACCGGAGACTCCTCTGGTGCTGCAGATGCATGGGCGGAGCCGATCACTTACCGTGATCCGTCTGCTCGTTTGCCTCCTATTTCATAAAAAAAACCTTTAATTACTTGTGTTCTGACGGTTAGATATCAGGCATTATCAATGGTTATCAGTAATCGTGTTGGAAGACAGATACACCGACAAAGATAAACAAATGGTACATCTGCGATTTCAGCAATAAAACTGATAGTAGCGATACTCATCCGACAGTCATTACGTATCTGTGCTGTGTAATCTGTTCATTGCTTCCGCTGCTTAACGAGTTAATGAGGCGCTGCGAGTGCTGGCCCGCGCCGGCACGCGCACAAACATTCGCTCTTACGGGTTCAATGTCGTCTGGCGTCTAGCAACGCAATGTCTTTCACTAGGCTATTGAGGGAGGGATGTTAAAAAACGCAATAATATGGCGGTGGAAGCTACTGAGGTGGAAGCTACTGCTCAAGTAGGCGGTGCTCCGCGGTATCTGTTTTTAACTCTACTGGGGCAAGTGTGATCAACGTAATCAAGAACGTATATCACTCAAAACAACTCAAAAATATATCAGGAAAGATGTACTTGTAAGGAAACGCAGGCCGCGTTAAGTTTGTGCGGGAGTCCGCCCTCAGCACCTCAGCTACGGGGCGCGCGATTGAAGTTTGCGACAATTTGGTTTCTTGTTCAGAAAATAAAGTACTGACAAGGTGTGGTGTGCTCCTAGCGAGTGTATCACGGGCCCGTGTCACGTGTCGCGCGGTTAAATAATTGCTGCAACGATAATGTCCCAACGTTGTGCTGGAAATTAATATAAAGCAGTGTGCGTTGCGCAAAGCTCACAGAATAAATTAGCGAAGTGAGCGCCGCCGCCGTACTAGCAGTGTGAGCACTACTAGCGCGCGAGTGGGCGCAGTGAACGCTGCACCTAATTTGTTTATCTCACAGAGAGAAACTCGTTAAAAACGCGAGGGATTTTGAAATATTAATGTAAACTCTTTTACTGCAAGTTTTGCTATCTGAACCGGATCACGCATAATATTGACTTTTAATTATTAATTTATGCACGTTGTAGCGGTCTGGAGCTTAAGACAGCATAGACATGCAGTGAAGGACAAATTCGTGTAAAATTGGGACTAAATATTTCAAATTATGCGTATAGTAGTAATTTGTGTTCGAGTGGTGATTAATGCGCAAACCTTCTTCGTGTGAGAAAAAGCGTGTGCGCTGCAGTGACCACCTATAGGATGAGGATCAGAGGAATCAAACTATTTTATGTAATTAAATAAGGTCATTATCAGTTGTTGCTGTCCAACTTAATCTGTGTTTGCCAGGGTGACACGTGGTGGTTGTGTGCTGGCAGACTCATTACATCTCGTATGCTCTCAATTTTTTTCTAGAAAACTAAGAAACGCATTTTCCCATCATTGTGTCATTTATAGTAACGGTAACATTTGTTGATAACATCATAGATTACAACACCTAGAAAACAAATTACCAAAAACTAAAAGATTCATTTATAGTTTGATCAGGAGCCACGAAAAAATGACAAGTAATTAGAT